GACAAAATGTCAGTTACGAGCAACAGAAAATTAGCCCACTACTAACGTATACACAACATCTGGTGCAACGCTCACTGGTATGAAAGATGGATTTTTAATGGTTGATGATTCTGTGCCCAGTCCACATATATGGGAAGGTACATATGCAAATACTCAGATCAAGAGAGAAACATTACAAGCTATAATCATATTTATTTAAAAAAGTGATATCAAATACAACCATATATATTCATGCCTATTTGGAGAGCATTTTCAAAATATCAAACAGCGCTGCCATTTTCCAGTGAAAACAATGACAAAGCATTTCAGCTTTCCTTTTTTTAATCTTTTCAGTATTATATGCTTTATATACACAAAATAGAGACAAAAACTGTGTAGGAATCCAGAGCCAAAGCAGATACTGAAAGCAAAATCTCAAGACAAAAAAAATTAATTACTGAAAATTATTTCTAAAATACACAACTATTAGGCAAGAGCTGAAAAAAAAATACTCCTTTACAAAATCCTAACTCTACACTGTTTTGTACACATGGAGTTTCAGGTAGCAAAAAATAAAATTTTATCAATGCTTGCATGCTTTAAAGACAATATCAAGGTTTTTCTCTCTTTTTTCTTTTCTTTTTTTTTTTCTGCACAGTGGCATTTAAATATTACATACCTTTCTGTTCAAACCCTTTCATAAGTTTCCCCTCCTGAATTCACACAGTGGCTATACTGGGGGCGGGAAGGGGCAGGATTTAAAAAAAAAAAGTCTTAAGTGTAGTAACAGTTATTTGCTTTTCTTAAATAAAATAAAGTAAAAACATTTTGATTTGGTAAAAGCAGTTGAAAAATCAGAAGTACTTTAACATTCTGAAGAACTGCAATTGGGGAAGGAGCTGACTATGGCAGGTTAAACTCTGACGCATTCCCTTCATGTCTGAAATGGAAGTAAGGCGAAAATGTGTGCATACAGGTTAAAAAAAGTTTATTGCAAAACAGCTCATGCTTTTAAGATGCAAACCTGGATACAACACAAACAAGCTACTAATGTGAAACTAAAGAATTGAATATTTGGACTGGGCCAGTTCAAATGTATTAATATAAAGTGTTCTTACTTGAACAACTGATTATGTATATGTGTAGAATGACTATATATGTATTACCTGTTAGACTTATAATTATTATTATTATTATTAGTGAGGAATTACGAAGATTTCCCAGGAGTTGTTTGTTTTATGCAAGAAAGTAATGGCTTACCAAGTGAGCAACATAATTTTATATATAAGCCCTTGAAAAAGTTTCCACTTCAATTCTTCTTTTACTTGGATTCTTTGTTCGATTCCTTTAAAAGTATGTGCCAGTAACATGAATTGTACAGTAATACTTTTTGTGAGTTCTAGAGTTCTCCAATCCATTCCCCGTAACATTTCTTAGTAAAAAGGCCATTTGTACATTTGCATCATTACGTTTGAAACAATAACTAAATCCTAGAAAAATTCACAGGCATTTTAGAACTGTAACATGTTCATTTTTAAAAGCCTAATTGTCAGTTTTGTAGTAAAGCAGTTTACAAATGACAGTATTTGTCTGAGATACAGAAATAGAATTGTTTACTAGACATGCAGAATCTATTTTAAACTCCCCACCACTTCATAGATTTGTAATGGAAGCAACAGTCCAACATTAAAACACATTGCTGATTTAACTTTATATTGGTTATTTTGTAGTCTGCAAAGTAATTAAGTATGTAAGATGAGTGCATTAGCTGAAAATTACATTTAAACTTGATGAAGTTGTTTGAAGGGCACCAGGATCCCACATGTTGGAGAGTAAACCAGTACTGTATCAGAACAGTTTCAAGCCCAGAAAAATGTGGGCATTTAAATAACTCGTATTTATACCTGCCGTGCCTAACAAGAATTGCATTCAAGCATGATTGCATTACAACACTTTTTCCTCCTGCCCTCATTACAAGACCATGAAAGTAGTTTACAGAACTAATTTTGGAAGATAGTTCATGCATCACTCATTCCCTCTACCCCTTTGACTTCTATAGACAGGAAAAAAACAAATTACATCACATGGACCGTTCACTGTGAGGAAGACAGTAAAAACCTGTTGGATGAATGAAGCCTGAAATTCCCTGAAATACCATACTGTAATTAAAAAAAAAAATAATTTCTGCTCCTTTACAATGGACTTTGGCCTAAAGCTACATGGGAAAAAAAAACTTCAGCTTGACAGAACAGGTTATGCATAGGCTCTAAATTAGTAAACACCTTGTGAGCATAGTTCAGCCACGTTGAGAACTGTTTATCACTGAAAGAATGAACAGCAAAAAATGAGACCGGCTTTTTATTGACAGCTTCTTGGCAGGTCCACACGTTTTGAACTTTAAGTCTGGGTTATAAAATATGTACTGTCAGCAATTAGTATGAGTCTCTTCCTTTGGTGCAATTAACATACATAGCTTAAATTGCTACCTCTTAACTGCTCGACTAGGCAGATACGCCTACTTCATTAACCTTAACATTCCTCTGAAAATCAAATTGGTATTTGCAGAGTGACAATGTTTCTACACAGAAAGGAACAGGTGAGCCCTGTAATGGCTGACACAGTCGTACTTTTCAGGCACTGTGACTTTATATTCCTTACATATTAAAACACTTGGGTGATGAAGTAACTTAGAAAGTGACATGAAAGTTCAAATGCAAACCTCCATGCCTTAGTAATTATAAAAACACGTAATTGTAATGGATTACAGTTAATGCAACTAAAAGGGGCTTAGATTTATTTATTTTTTTTATATAGGGCTGCTACACTATATAGCTATAGAAATAATACATTTTTATTATATTCTTATAACAGATGCTGAAAGTTCCAAGTACTGGTATAAAATTGCCAGCCTATACCTATTTATAAAAAGGAGTCTTATTTCAGAATCAGTTTATGGCACAACAAAAGAAGGGAAATTAAAGCTGTGGATAACTTACAGATGAGAAAAAAAATAATTCAGTGCTTTACAGATTCCTTTCATGTTTTCAGTTTCATATAAATTTTAAACTGAAAGCAGAAATTTACATCCTGAAAAATAACAGCATTTCAAAATGGCATACGCACATATGGACTTTTAAAGCCATTGTTCAGCTGTATTAACTTGAGACATTACAGATATTAATTATAATGTGCATGACAGGATAATTTTAAAAAGACAAAATTTAAAATATTTTTTTTAAAACTAGTGCTCTCATGTCAAAATCCATATTGTCTTACACATATCAGTGGTTCTGGTGACACTGATGGAAATTCAGCACACAGGTAAGGAAAACAGAATTTAGCCCAATTATGTATAATATAATAATAACCTAAACTACCAAGAAACCATTGCTGTAAACAAATCTTTACTGAGAGGTAAGAGCCCTTTCATGTACAGTACTACTTAATGCTGAATGTGTATTTCCATCTAGCTACCGTTCATTTCATACTGATTTTAATTGTTACTATTGTGCAACAGTATAACTTTAGAATATTTTTAATAGAGAAATTTGGGGTTATCTTCAAAAGATTCTTAGAATGCCTGTGCAAATGTTAATGCATTAAGTGGACTACAGCTTACATACTCTATCTACAACATATTTCCATATAATTTATATGTAAACAGAATTTGTATTTCAAGCACCATTTAGGAAAATGAAACGTATCTCAATTGTTGCACTGAAGCTGAAAGTCGGGTTTGGTCACCCTGTTACACATTCATCCTGGGTATCAAAGCAACATCTTACAACCAATAGAATAAGTTCTCTCACATAATTTGCTCCCCAATTTTTCTCAGGATCAGAAACAGCATGATAAAAAATTGTAAGGTGCTTGAATAAAGGCCATTCCTGAAAAAGCTGCAACATTCTGACAGACACTCATAAAAAGCATTTCGGAAAGAACATCCACACAGACATAAATATTCATTCTTAAAAGAGCTACTTGCACAGGGGTCATTTCAGGAATGCACCTTATTTGTGTGGCACTGACTGTATGGCACCTCAATCCCCTCCTCCTTTCTCCTAGACTCAGTTACAGCTCTTTCATATTGAAAGGCCAGAAGACAGGGTTGAGCTTGAAGAGGAAAAAAGATTCCAGAAGAGGCAGAAAAGAAAACCTGTTTCACTCAACTGAGTATATCCTACTTTTATAGTAAAGACAGTGGCATAACTAGAAAGAGCATAAGAAAAGAGAAACAAGTTTAAAAAAACACCACAAAACCAAAGAAGGCAAGTTATCTGCCAAAAAACCAAAAGGGCAATGCAAAAATCCTGCTTTAAACATGGACTGAAAGTAAAACCAGAAAGTGTGAGAAGGTCAGAAGTCACTGAAAGATTCGGGACTAACATCATAATCAACAATACACTGAAGATTTTATCTTTAATTGCAAGGTATTAAAGTTATGGATTCATGTGTCTCCTGCAGAATGGGTCATTTCAAGAGCGGACAGCAGGATCGAAAACTTGACATTAAGTCATTCAGAATAAACAATCAGAAAATAAATTATGTAAGATAAGCAGAATTTAATTCTTTTTCCCATTTTAAGTGATTTCTTACAAAGAACTTAGTAATTTATGAGCACAACTTACTACGTGTATCCATTTTTCCATTAGTATGGAAGGAAATTAGTTGATGCTGGTTTTCAGCACCTTTTATGTTTTCTATAGAATTCTTCAAACAATTTAAACTCACTTTTTAAATGCAAGTTACAGCTGCTATACATATCTAACTTTGTTAATAGGAATAGTTTAAGTAATTTTAATACAGCTACTCTTTTGAAGAGATGTTCTGTAGTAGGAACACTACAGTTTTCTGAATTAGTGCAATTTTTTTTGTATTTGGAGATTCCC